TGCTACTGCTACTGCTACTCCTTCTACTACTACTACTACTACTACTACTAGTACCACTACTACTACTACTACTACTACTACTAGTACCACTACTACTACTACTACTACTACTACTACCATTACTACTACCATTACTACTACTACTACTACTACTCCTCCTCCTCCTACTACTACTACTACTACTACTCCTGCTGCTGCTGCTGCTACTACTACTACTACTACTACTAATGAGAAGTAAAATAATAGAACCTCACAGTCCAAAAAAACTTTGAAACATCTCGACCCTAAAATCGCCCTAGCTGGAACCGAAACCCTGAAGCCCTTAACCCCCAGAAAACGCAAACCCTAAAAATACTTAAATCTTAAAGCTCGAAGCTTCACGTTAAACCCTATCCCCAAGTGCCCGGGCCGCAAAAAGTGTCGCACACCCCAAAAGCCGTAACTAAACCCAAAGCAGCCTATGCCCGAACTCCCAAAACCCTACAAACCCTGACAACTAAACAGTAACACTACCCGTGAAAGACCATGCAACCCTGAACCCTTCAAGCCCTAAACACCAAAATCCCACACACCCCAAAAAGTCTTGAATGGCGCGTGCTTCAATGGCATGTGCTTGCACGTGCTTCAACCGTGTGTGCTCTTGAACTGACCCTTGCCCGTGAATCCAGGTCGTGCTCGAATCGCCCGTGCTCCAGTCGCATGTGCTTGGATCCTGTTCGAATGTGTTTGAATCCTAGTCGCACTGCTTCAGTCGAGCTTGGTGCTAGAATCTTTGTTAAATACACACACACACAAACTACTCGTACAGCTGGAGGCATGTGATGGGTTTGTGGAACATGGGCAAATGGACTACTCCTGTCCCGCGCCGCTCTCTTCCTGAGAGGGCCACAAGCAACAAATGCTGCTTAACTGCCGAAGACATTCGAAGGCTAGAAGCACGGGCAGACGGACTAGATGTCCTGCTTTCCATACACGTGTCTACATTTCTAGGTCCTGGGTTCGTTGTCTTTTCCGTGCAAAAATTAAGGGGCCTTGGCGGCACAGCGGCTGAGCCGGTCGACCTGATCAGAACGGCCGACAGGATGCACTATGATTTAGCGTCTGCAGTGAAGGAGTCAGTAGACGCACCGGCACAGAACTGTCGTCACGTACAACTTGGGCTTGCACTGCTTCCTTGCCGAAGGTGAAGGCCCTTGGGGCTGAGTTGATTACGGCTGCAGCAAACAATGAACGCAAACTATCCAGATCATTGTCTGGCGGTCCCAGCTCTTCATCATCTTCGCCGGTCTCATCGTCCTGCTCTAACACTGCGTTCAATCCATCACTGTCATTCCGCATGGCTGTCTGCTCCTCCTGCATCCATGTTGTTACGTCATCGTTGAGCTGCATCATGAAGTGGATGCAGAGGTCTAGCGCCTACAGTCTGCGGGCACTCGATAGCACAAGCAGCAGCTTGCCATCTACAGTTGCCCTCAGCTCCCTCACAAAGGTCCAAGAGGGCTTTTTGACTCACTTGGCAAAGGCCAATCTATATTGAAGAAAATAGCTCTTCAGCTGCATCCCCCCTCAAGCGTACTGCTCCCCGGCTGTCGGGAAGCTGAGTGTCGCTCTGGGATTGGAGCACTGTCTGCTCACACGTCGTTCAGGGTAAATGCCTTAATTTGCTTCCTTTGCCGGGCTGCTCGTTGCCTTCTTCGCCTCACAGTCAACAAGGAGCTTTGCCTATGCAAGCCTAGACCTTCTCCTCAAATTCCCTCACCGACAACCCACCTTGACAGCGTCAGGCTTTTTGAAAAGGTAATGGGCCACGATCCACTCATTACCATCCTTGTAGCCCCAGAGTTCTGCGCAGGCCATGAAGAAGGCCCTCAGGGCAGAGCACGTGGACTCCTTGTTTTGGTCCGCCAACATGTGGAGTAATCACAGCTCAGTTCGAGCCTCCATCGATTGAACCACATAACTTCAGTGCCTGCACATTCAGGCAACCTGATGTTTGATCTGGTGGCTTAAGAACTTCAAGAAGCGCGACCTGCAGGGTAGGTCTGCTTCAGCAACTCCATGACCTCCGTCCAGATGTTCACTCTCACTCTCTTCTCTCGAATAACTTACAATCAGCTAGAAGTCAATGAGAGCATGGCCTTTTCGGAGTTCTCGTCAAGATTTTGCAGCCATCCCTCTGCAGTCAGCTGGTAGTGTCGACCATTCACATGCCAATGCTTCTCCTGTCGACCCGATGTTCAAAAAACGCATCATCCGCATGATGCAAAAAAATTCCGATTCACGAAGCCAGGCTCCAGCTGCAAATGCCGCTGAAAGTAGAAGAGGAGGTCGGCAGAAGGCATGGTACCCCCGGCGAAGAAGTACCGAGCCATCCAGTCTGCACAATTTACAATCCGAGCTGAGCTAATAAGATGAGAGATCGTGTGCAATGTCCCCAGAAGGGTGGAAAAGGGTAGGCGTCAGGGTAGGCAAGGGTAGCGTAAGGTGACGATGCAAGGGCATGAGGTGGATAGGCACAAGAACAAGAAATGCCATTGCGAGCCTGCTTCCGATCTGGCCACGAAGTGGTACGGAAAGCGCGTGTGCCTTGCCGATAAACGACACGATCAGGTGCCACCGCCGTCTGGCTACATTACGTACATATCCTTTTATCCATGGGTTTATGTAACGGTTTGGTCCGGTTTGGTGTTTATTCATCTTCCTGCCGTCACTAAACTAAACTACCGAACCATGTTTCTTTCTTCCATTCTATCTTCGTGTTCTTCCGGGCTTGACCTGCCGTCGTTTCGTGCATTAGCCTGTGAGTTCTCGGTTGGTTTCCCGGCATTACGATCTCACATCTCCGGCTTCGGGTTTACCTGGGCCACCCTGTTCACACAAGATGTGATTCGCCCACACACACACACACACACAC